ATAACTTGCTTCTGAACCATGCAAAAGTTACTTCCAATTAACATTGAAGTTACTTTTAAAAATTGTTAAACTTACTTGGGCTGATTTGTGCTGATTAAATTTATTTTCTAGATAGAATCATATTTTTAACCCTACAACGAATTTATTTCTAATGTTGTGACAAAGTTACTTTCTTTTTGTTTTAAGTTACTTTTATAATATATGTAAATTACTTTTAGACTTTATTGAATTTACTTTTATATGTCTAAGAAGTAATTTAGTGAAATTTAAAAGTAATTTAGATATATTATAAAAGTACTTTGTAATTTTTCATCAAAATGTAATCATGTAAGATCTTGTTATAAAGATTTAATTGTTACAAATACAACGATGTAATCGGATCGTACATCGTATGAGTAGTTTAAGAGGAAATGTTATTGGAAGTATAGGTGGTTCCTATTTGCTTGATGAACTAGTAGTATATTTTCAGTAGAGTAATGGCTTCAGTGGTGTCTCGTTGTAAGACTGAACCGAGAGGCTTCTTGGTTTAGATTTGGCGCTAAAGTATTTAATATCACATGTAAGTGTGCCACATCATCACCCTCTAGAAATTATTGTCTAAAATATTTTAAATATTATGCAAATATGACATATCATTTATAATTTTGTTGTATTTTTAGAATTTAATATACAAGCAATGTCAAATCATTATCTCTACATCATTTTCACATTATTTAAATGTATGCATCTACCATTTCTATAACATATAGCATATATTCATCCATATATTCCGTAGCAAAGCGCGGGATATCAACTAGTAAAACTGTAATATCATATCTGTATCCCTCAACCTAAAACCATATATAACAACTCCATCAACTATTAATACCGTGTAAAATGACTCCTTCAATTGTTTTATAGTGTTTTTTTGCTAACGTGGCATCCTACATGACACTTTGACCAGGTCGTGTACTAACTTGGCAGCTACTTGGCATATAGGTGGCAATACAGTCAAGAACAAATAAAAAATATATGTGGGAACCACATGTCAGTGAACGCTTTCTCATTTATCCTCTCACCTCTTCTCTCTCATTCATATGTGTCCTCTATCTCCTAGGTCAGGGTGGCGATCGGCGGCAAGTCCCGCGCGAGCTCGAGCTCGGCCTCGATTGGCGTGTGCGACGGGAGGCAACATCGGGCCGAGATGGCGCCACCGCGGACGAAGCCCTATCCCCACCATTAGCATTTACCGCCTTGTCGATGACAATAGAGGACAACAGAGGGAGAGGCTGAAGCTGAGACCATCACCACCACTAAGGCCGCCTTCAAGGCAATCCCGTCGCTCGAGGCCGGCAGCATCCTTGCAGGGAGGGAGCCACGGAGGAGCGTCGGATGGGGCTGCCGCCGCCGCCACCGAGGAGAGCCACATCACTCTCCAATGAGTGGTTCAGATCTGACCATAAGAGGAGGTGGTGACTGCTCTGGCAACCTGATCCACTGGGAAGTAGGAGTAGGGAGGCGGTGGTCTCGTCTCCAACTCTAGCGCGACATTACCACCAACTTTGGTGCGACATTACCACCAACTCTGGCGTGACATCACCAACACAGATGCCATCCACCATGACCACCACTACCGGTGCTCACAATAGTCCATCGCACTCCTGACGCTGTCCCGACGGCAAGCTCGAGGTGGCTAGCCAACCGGAGGGAGGCGACACGGTCGTCGCGTCGAGGAGCCACTACCACGGCTTGATGCTCCGGTTCTCCCATTACCGCATCAAGGAGCCATCGCTGCAGTCGCCGTGACATCGAGGAGCCGAAGCTGCAGCCTGCTGCTTCAGTTCTCCCATCACCGTTGGGCCTCCTCGCTATCATCGAGACTGAGGTAGATGTAGAGAATACAAAGGCATGGTGGTGGTGGCAAGCGTGAGGGCGAGCAGATCCAGAAGTGTTATTATTTAAAATCAATATATGTGCAAGAAATGTTAGTTCTCCCTTTAATTATTATGATAGTTGACGGTCGAAATTGGTATTTAACAACTATTAAACAGTCACCAAGTCTAATTTGGCCTCCGAAGACATCACTATCTTAAAACTAACTTAGCCTCTTCATGCCAACTCCGATTTGAGTGATCATAGATTTTTTGAAAGCTTATCTCGTCGCTTTTCAAACACATCCGGTCTTATATCAAAATTCATACCGAGTTAACAGGAATCGTTAAAACATGACAATGTTATTACTGAGACCGAACTTATACCTCGGGCCTTTTAATAGACTAGGCCCATCTCGGGAGCGCTTCTCTTCACCTCCACGAACGAGCACTGATCCCTACCTCTATTTTTTTTCTTTATGAATATCTATGTACATCCTCTAGTCCTCGGTCGTTTAGTCGGTGACTATAGATCCAGAGTCTCAATAGTTGGTGTTTTGATTTGTCGGATCGATTAGATCTCTTTCTTTGTGCTTAATTACATATTCGTCATATTTAATTTTCATCTTACCTTATTTTTATAGTGTTCTCTTGTTTGCATTGCATGGATCATCAACCATGTGTGGTACAACATCGTTTGTGGTGTAGCGGTTGCACGGCCTTCTGAACTTGTTGTGGTTGGTAGCCACATTGCAAACGTCGCATTCGATCAAAGTAAGATTTATCCCCTCTTCAGAAGATCGAGCCACGAGAGAGCGTTTTCACTTTTGTATGTCCTACTGCTTTGTGAAAAAGTATATTATATTTTATAGTAAAATTAGGCAGATGCTATGCATTGCAACCAGATTTAAGAGAAGACTAGCAGCTATATTACCTGCATTAAAAAAAATGACCAGCCTATTGCATGATACTGTCATTGTTTTTGTGTGTATGGTATTGCTTCAAACACCCGCTCTAATTAGAATTTTTGTCTACTTTGGCCTTTGGGTATGGTTTGCTGCTTGAACCGTGGTTTCTAATATAGTGCTTTTGTTTCGGGGTTTGTCTCAGTTTCTGAATCCTGATTTGATTTGTGTGCTTTAGACTTGCTGCGTGAGCTTTGATCATGTACCAAGTTGGCATTGCCATTGCCTCATTGTTTTCCTCTTGGGTTTGTGTCCATGCAGAGCTGCTAGAAGGAAATTTAGTCGAGTTACACGCACCTATCTGGTGATCTGTAGGTTAAAATCATGAGTGGTTATGTATCATATATATGTGATACGTATTTGGCCATTCCAATCGAAGGTGTGCAATAATTCCTGCAGCTGAGTTTGTCGAATGTTGCCAAGACTACTGATTCAAGTGAGAAGTGACACAGCAAGCAACCCTTAACCAGTGGCACTTGTAGCAAGTACTTTCTTATTCAGGCTGAAGAAGTGATGTATCTAGAGTGTTGGGTTGCTGCTTCTTTGGTCTTTGCTAGTGCCAAATGCGGTAGCAACTAGCACGTATGGCAAATTGGCAATGCATGACGTTACTATTAGGAAATAGGAGGTGATCTTCTACTACTGATGTGAGATTTTAATGCAGGTAAGGCTGCTTATTCAAGAATATACTATATAATATAAAATCCAGTGTGCTAGCTACCGGTAGTACAGCTGCTGCTGTCTTTTTATTTCAGAGTTTGTGTATGCATGGCCCGTATGCGTGGAGTCCATAAAATTCATACACAACCTTTTTTTTCATATGGCTGGGAACCTTGGTGATGGTTTTTACCATCAAGAGTTTGATGAAGGGGTAGGATTGTTTGATATTGATATGTTACTTTTTGGTGGAGTTCCCGGTAACTACTTTCTGGGTGTGCTTATGGTTATGATGCTGATATGGTGATGGTGGGGTGGAGGAGGAGGTGGAGGTCCACTGTACAACGGTGCCGACATCTATGGGCTGCATCCAGATAGTATGTTTTTTATTCTCTTATTTCTCTTTCAAGGAAACATCTTAACCATAATACAATTTATTTTTTTGCTGTTAGATTTTAATCGCTACATTGTGAGATTTAAGGGAGTTACCGAAGACATAAATGGTTGGCAGATGTTGTGTATTATGTCTAATCCTACTAATTTTACCAACTCCAGATAATGATGGCCTCCGTGGTATGCTGCACTCTATCAGTTTCCTTTTTTTCACCTCTATTTTTTTATTTGTATGTCTTAATAATCTGCTTCTGGGATGTTTGTTTTCACCTTTATTTTCTATCTGTTGTTACTGTTGTTGTTGTGTCTTAATGATCTGCTCCTAGTGGATATGGATCCAAATGTTGAAGAAGAAGACGAACAATTGGTCCAGGATAACCATAAGTGGCAGTTTGTCAGGGATTATCCAAGATGAAGGTAAAGACACATCTAATAATCTAAAGCTGCCTCTTTTGTTAGCTTTTGATTGGTCCACTTAGCGTCCCCTACTTTGGAGAAAAATCATAAATTTATGCTGAGAAAAAACAACTAACATTCATATGTGAGAAAAAATCTAGAGAAAAATATCACATTAGGATTCTAGAGGCTTCCAAAACTATTTTCCATTTCCAACCGCATGAACTTCTACTCCTTTGCCTTCTATAAATATACCACGCCTAACTCTACAATATATAATAAACCTAAAATTATTAAGCAAAAAAAAATCTAAAACAACGAATTTACATTCATTTTCCTTCTTTAAATATCCTACGCCTACTCGGTATTACTCATATAACTCTAGAATATATAGTAAACCCAAAATTATTACACAAAAAAAATCCAAAACAAAGAAAGAAAACAACCTTGTTTTCATCATAGGATCATTAATACCTACTTAGCAAAAAAAAATTGTGTTTTCTTCTTACATAGGATATGTCAAAAAAACTGAATATACTAAATGATGATCTTTCGAAAATTCAAATACACAAGTAAATATATTTAAACCAATTAATTCTGATGAATCTCAAAATTTATTTTACTTGTTTGGATTCATTAAAAGTTATGTATAAAATGACACATTAAATTTATTAGTTTTTCTTGACATAACATACAAGTTCTAATTTTTTGTGACAAATATGTTTTTCACTTTTATACATAATAAATAAATTATTTATACATACATTCATAAATGTTTTTTTAATATCATACAAACATTCGTTAAAACTAAAATAATGGTTCACAATTTTGTTTTATGAAAATTCTAAAATTTCAAATAAGAAAAGAAGTACTCCCTCTGTATTTTAATGTATGACGCCGTTGACTGTTTGATCAATATTTGACCATTCGTCTTATTTAAAAAATTTAAACTTATCAGTCAGCAAGACCAGTGTATTTTAATCTGCTAGATTACTATTAAACTACCAGTCATGAGATTACTGTTAAACTGCCAGTCATGATTAGTCTGCTGCCTAGCCTACTGCAGGTGGATATGAAGATGAAAAAATGTGTCTTTCCCTTCTTCTTGGATAATCCCTGACAAATTGCCACTTATGGTTATCCTGGACCAATTGTTCATCTTCTTCAGCATTTGGATCCATATCCACTACGAACAGAAACACGCCCTCTGCAAACATCCCAGAAGCAGATTATTATGACACAACAACATCAACAACAGATAGAAAATAAAGGTGAAAACAAACATCCTAGAAGCAGATTATTAAGAGACATAAATAGAAAAATAGAGGTGAAAAAAAAGAGAAACTCATAGTGTTTCATACCACAGAAACCATCATTATCTAGAGCTAGTAAAATTATAAAATAGAGGTGAAAAAAAAGAGAAACTCATAGAGTGCTTCATACCACAGAGATCATCATTATCTGGAGCTAGTAAAATTATTAGGATTAGACATAATACACAACATCTGTCAACCATTTATGTCTTTGGTAACTCCCTTAAATATCACAATGTAGCGATTGAAATCTAACAGAAAAAAATAAATTATATGGTTAAAATGTTTCCTTGAAAAAGAATAAAAGAATCAGAAACATACTATCTAGAAGCAGCCCATGATGTCGGCACCGCTGTACGGTGGACCTCCACCTCCTCCTCCACCCCCACCACCACCTTACATCATAACCATAAGCACACCCAAAAATTAGTTATCAGCAATGGGAACTCCACCAAAAAGTAACATATCAATATCAATCAAACAATCCTACCCCTTCATCAAACCATTGATGGAAAAAACCATCACAAAGATTCCCAGCCATATGCAAAAAAAAAGGTTGTGTATGAATTTTATAGACTCCACGCATACGGGCCATGCATACACAAACTCTGAAATAAAAAGACAGCAGCAGCTGTACTACCGGTAGCTAGCACACTGGATTTTATATTATATAGTATATTCTTGAACAAGCAGCCTTACCTGCATTAAAATCCCATATCAAAGAAGTTAATGATGGCTGGATTTCTTGTTCAACAAACGATTGTCATAAGCATTTGATTGTCAAAACATCAATTTTTACTAATTAAAAATGTTAAGATGTTAAACAATGCAACTCTTAATGTGTTTTAAGCATTCTTTCAACATCAGATAAGAAGTACATCCGAGAACAATAGACTCACAGTTATTTATCCTTCTTCTGAGAAGCTCTATATTTTGACCAATCGTCTAAGGTTTTCCGGTGAACAGCATTCATTTTTATCTTTCTTTTTTCTCGGATGATGTTTTCTGCATCCTTCCAGTTTTCAGCAATGCCCAATGCTACTAGAACTGCACACACAACACAAGCGCTTCTTCCATGACCTGATGCAGTCATGCACAAGACATAAGAGTGCACACACAATATTCAAACGTAATTAGCAGCTGCAATTATGTACAAAACTAGATTATAGAACTACAGTCCTTATGTCAACGTTAAAAAAAGGTGGAATATATGAAGAGAGATAGGTCGTTACTAACCAAACGCACAATGTACATAAACTGGTTTTCCTTTAGCTCTCTTTTCACATGCCCAGCGTGCCGCAAATTCAATTTGGGATATCGTCGGGGCTCTTGTATCCCAAGTAGGAACACAAAGATACTCATTTGTTGGGACAAAATCACTTCTTGGCAACTCACAAGTGCAATCAATAACAGAGGGGTCTCCTGGGGGCAAATGCTTCAACATAAACGGCCATCCTCCTAGATAAACGCCTTCAGTGATCATGTTATACACAGCCTCCTTCTTCCTCATATGTCTCTTCATAGTTGCATATACCCGGGCAAGTATCAAGAAAGGACCAAAAAGTACACTTGACCAAATTGGAAACCTCCCCTTTGAATTCTTTCCCAACATCCAAGGTATGTTGATGGAATTGTGGGATGCAACAGCGATGATATAGGCAATTGTACTGGTGGCTAGGAAAGGAACCGCGACAATTCTTAAGCCAATCTTCCACAGACCAACAGACGTGACCAGAAGAGATGTTCCAGCGATGCCAATCACCTTGGATATCCCCATTATCGCCCGCTTGAACTAAAACCTCTTCTTTTGGATTATGAAGGTCAGATCTGTATCAAGATTTGCATCAGTGGATTCTTGCAATAGAACGGCGAAAAACAAAAGGTAGTTTTGGCATGTACGGAGTCTTGAATTACATCTAATTAAGATATGGATAGTTCAGGAAAATTCGTAACAGTTGATATGGATTATAAAGCAAAATTCACAACCAATTTAGCAGCGAGCATCAATTAACAGTTACATAAGTGGTGTAAGCTTGACCAATGCAGGCAATGAGGCAAGTGCCAATTCTTAAAAAGACAAGAACAGATAAAATGTTCTAGCTAGCATCAATCATGTTATTACGCAAAATTGTACTAAACCAAAAAAAATACCTAGGGCATGACAATGTAAAAGTACTAATTTATTGAAGGCACCAACAATGAATCAGCCAACCAAAAAAACAATCCATAAAACTGGAACATGTAACAAACAGGATGGATCAAGAACCAGCAACGGGCAGCATCAGCCAAGTAGTAGCGGACCTAACACGGGGAGCAGGGGATTCAGCGCGAGGAGGTGAGGCCGCACAGGGGAGGAGCCGTGCGTCTTCTCGACGGCCGCGTGCGCGAGGAGGAGGAGGAGGAGGAGGAGGAGGAGGAGACAACGCCAACCTCCCTGGCTCGCACTGCAGATCGGAGACGCAGAGAAACTTTTTCCCTTTTTCTGATGGAGGAAACCAACAGAGGGGCGAGAAGAGTGGCGTGCCATTCATTTGCCAAGAGAGGAATAGATGGAGGAGGAAGAAAGGCATCTTGGCCATTCGCTATATTTTTTTTTATTTCTCAGTAATTTTTAGTACTATTTGAAATTAAAATTCGTGACACCGGTAAAACCTAGTATTACCTCCCTTGTTTTTTACTTGTGTTTTGAACATCGAAATATTTTCACTGCATATGTTTTATTACTATTTTTTTTCTAATTGTTTCTGGTAAAATGCTATTAAATGTATAATAATATAAGAATGTTTTTCATCACAAATCTATCAGTATCAATTATGAAATTTCTTCAATTCACTTATAATATATGAATCTCATTCAAATTTCATATCACCCACCCCTAACCAGAGACGAATCCAATTACTGAGTTTCCAATACTTATCAAATAATGTAACCACTGCTCCTAATCATCAAAATCATTGTTACAGCAAAAACAGTTAGACCTTATACGGGACTACTAGACTAGACAAGTACAAGTATTAAGTATTAAGCCTAATATAGGTTGTGATAGTAAATTTCCTAACCATTAATCTATTAAAATATTTTTTTATCAACCTTTCTTTTTTTTCTCACCATGTAACAGAAAATTCTTTTATTATGAGCTAAGAATTGTTGTTAACCTTTTATGTTTCTCCCTCTTTTCTTCTCTCTATTCCATGTAAAAAACTGCTCCCTCTATATTTATCCTACACATACCAATAAAACATATTAAAAATACTATAATATCCCCACTTTATCAAATCCTAATACAATTAGTTTTCATTTTATTTAATTTAAATGCATTTATTCTATAATTTCATAAAGTAGGATGTAATAATTATTTAAAAGTAAATTTATTTTGAGTATCCACCTGCAGTAGGCTAGGCAGCAGACTAATCATGACTTGCAGTGTAACAGTAGGCAGTTTAATAGTAATCTAGCAGTTTAAAGTACACTGGCCTTGCCGATTGATAAGTTTAAAGTTTTTGAATAAGACGAATGGTCAAATGTTGATCAAACAGTCAACGGCGTTATGCACTAAAATATATTGGGAGTACTTCTTTTCTTATTTGAAATTTTAGAGTATTCATAAAATATTTTAGAAAGAAAATTGTGAACCATTATTTTAGTTTTGACAAATGTATGTATGATATTAAAAAAACATTTATGAATGTATATATAAATAATTTATTTATTATGAATAGAAGTGAAAAATATATTTGTTATAAAAAAATAGAACTTGTATGTTTTGTCAAGAAAAACTAATAAATTTAATGTGTCATTTTATATATAAATTTTAATGAATCTAAACAAGTAAAATAAATTTTGAGATTCATCAGAATTAATTGGTTTAAATATATTTGCTTGTGGATTTGAATTTTTGAAAAGATTATTCATTTAGTATATTCAGTTTTTTAAACATATCCTATGTAAGAAAAAAACACAATTTTTTTTAGCTGAGTAGGTATTAATGATCCTATTCCGTGATAAAAACAAGGTTGTCTTCTTTCTTTCTTTGCATTGGATTTATTTTAATAATTTTGGGTTTACTATATATATTCTAGAGTTATATGAGTAGTACCGAGTAGGCGTAGGATATTTAAAGAAGGAAAATAAATGTAAATTCGTTGTTTTAGATTGTTTTTTTTCTTAATAATTTTAGGTTTATTATATATTGTAGAGACATGCGTGGTATATTTATACAAGGCAAAGGAGTAGTTCATATGGTTGGAAATGGAAAATAGTTTTGAAAGCCTCTGGAATCTTTTTCTCTAGATTTTTTCTCACATGTGATTGTTAGTTGTTTTTTCTCAGCATAAATTTATGATTTTTCTCCAAAGTAGGAGACGCCAAGTTGATTTCCCTCAACGTAACAGCGAGATTTTTTTACGTCCCTTAACCGCAAAACCAGAAATCTTCACCGTAAAATATACAAAACCGCCCAATTTTGGTCCCATGGCAGCAGTATAGATGCCTTGTTTCGCTGACGTGGCATCCAAGTCAGCAAAATAAAAATAAAAAAAATATGTGGGGCCCACGTATCAGCCCCACGTCATCTGTCTTACACCTCCTTTCCCTTCTCTCTCTCACTTTTGTTCTGCAGGGCGGCCGGTGGATGGGGAGGAAGCTGCCAGGGCGAGGCAAGAGACGAGGAGGTCGGGCGGGCGGCCGGCGACGAGGCGGCGGCGGCGGGACCGGACGTCGAGCTCGACGCCCATGGCGTGGGCGAGCTCCCTGTTGCCGTCGGAGAGGAGGAGCACCTCATCACGGCAGCGAAGCTTGAGGAAGGTGGCACCGAGGACAAGCGCGTGGTTGGCGAGCTTCCGCCAGCGAGGAGGGCGGCGAGAGACGACGAGGACTTGTGGAAGTTGGAGCCTGTAACATCTTGAAAATTCGACCGACAAAATCAAAACTCTAAAAATACGGATTTCCAAAAAACTTTTAAATTAATTGCACCATGCCGATCTTATTCGCCTATTTTATTTGGATTTGATTTTGAAGTTCATTAATCGTGAGTGAAGATAGTTAATTAGGAATAAACCTTAAAACAAACTGGTAAAATAAATATAAATTAAAATAAAGATTAGGTGTGGATAGAAATAAATAAAATATTATCGCGACCATGTTTGGATCAATTAAATTTAAAATGCGATGGAATAAGAATTAACCCTAATTAAAAATTCAAATAAATTATATAAATAAAATATGAGTAATATTAATCTAGGGTGAGTTCATTAGTTGAGATAACACAAATATTGAGTAAAATGCATATGTGCAAAAATTAGGAATTGTGGAACCAAATTTATATAAGAAATAGACTAAAATGAGAGAAATAGGAAAAAGACACTATTCATTGAACTCTAGGTGCTCGACGTGGTCCCCTAGCCATAGACCCTCCTCTGCCGCGCGCCCGGCCACGCCCCGAGCCCCGCGCCGCCGCCGCCGCGCCGTCGCCGTCGCCATCCCGTCGCGCCGTCGCGTTGCCGCACGCCGTCGCCACCACCGCTGCCGCGCCGCTGCTGCGCCGCGCCGCCTCGCTCCACGCGCCCTTCGTCTCGCGCCCCGTGCCGCCGCGCACCGTCGCCGTCGCGTCCCATCGTCGCTCCGAGCCGCGCGCCGCGGCTGCCGCGCCGTCCCCATCGCCATCCCGCTGCCGCGCCGCGCGAGCCGCCGTCGCCTCAAGCCCCGTCCCGCCGTCGCGTCGCTCGCCCCGCGCGCCGCTCACCCATCGAATCGCCGCCTCGCGCCCCGCGCTACTGCCGCGCCGCTCGCCCGTCGCGTCGCCGTCGTCGTCGCGCCGAGCCCCGTGCCGAGCCGCGCCGCCCGCCCGTCGCAATCACCGCTACCCGCGCCGCCCGTCGCGTCGCCATTAGGCCGCCCGCCCCTTCCCCGTGCCCTTATAAAACCCGGCCCTTCCCTTCTCCATCCCACACCCATCCCCTCCATTTCCCCTCCCTCTCCTCCTTCTCCACGCATCGCCGCCATCGTGCCGCCGCGCCGCCGCCTTCGTGCGCCGCGCCGTCGCCCCGGAGCCGCCGCGCCGTGCGTCGCCGCCTTGCACCGCCGTCGCCGCCGCCTCCGTCGCCGCCGCCGCCGTCGGTAAGCCGCCGCCCCCCCCCCCCCCCCTCCGTGCGTGCTGTCGCCACCGCCGCCTCGGGTAGGGAGAGAGAGAGCCAAGAGAGAGAGAGGAAGGGAGAAGCCGAGGGAGAGGGAGAAGGAAAAAAGAAAAGAAAGGAGAGAAAGAGAAGGAAAAAGAAAAAAAAATAAAAATAAAAAGAAATTAGAGGGAGATTAGGGAAGTTTAGAAAATTTAAAATAATTGGAATTTAATTATAGATTAATTATAGTCGTAGAATTGCAAAATTTAATATAAATTATGGATTATTCTTGGTAATTTCTATAAGAAATCAATTCGCGGTAATAATTTAGATGTAGTTATTGAATTCTTATGGATTACTATAGATTATTTATGGGTAATCCTATAAGTAATCGATTCACGGTAGAAATTCGGATTTAACTACTAGGGATTTTACCCGTGTATTATATTTAATCATTTAGTCATAGACTAAATTAAATCGTATAATATTTCTAGGATTACGTCCGATATTTAGCTCGCGATAGAAATTTCTAACCTATTATATGGATATAATGCTCGGGTAGATTAAATTAAAAACTTATGACAACAAAATATTTATACCCGCAAAATAGTTTGAATCGAAATTGGGTTTGCCTTAGTTCGCGAATAATAAAGTTAATATAAAGAAATCGACTTTCGCATTCGACTTTCATTTGGATTCATTTGGATTTTGATTTGAATTCTAACCGAATTCAAATCAATTTTCACACGTAACTATAGAGCCTGATGGAGTTGCGGATCCAAGCGAAGGTCAAGACCCGCAAGACATTGAGCAAGGCAAGTCATCACTATTCCTTGAACATGTTGATCCCAATTGCGAAATTGTTTTGTTTACAAATAAAATTGCATACAATGATGAACATCCTACTTGTGATTATGCCATGCCTTGATTATTGTTTACCCTTAAAATCCTTGTAACCATAATTACGTATGAGTCCCTAGTCAATTATGACAATTGCTTAGAAATGCCATTCTAGAATCATGCATACTCATATTTATCAAATGCTATATGCTTGGGCAATTACCTTTGGGAAGGTAATTGAGATGCGGCATGTGGAGACATAAGCGCCACATTGCCATGATGTTGATGACATGATTTGTGAAAGGAGAAATAAAATTAAACAATTGTTTTCGACTGGGGCGGACGGAGGATTTGGGTGGTATCTGGGAAAGGCTAGTACCGTCCCCGGTCAATTAAGGACCGAGCCATGAAGTTAAGCATGAAACGACCCCCGTACAACCGTACTTCTCGAATGGGTATAGACCTAGCGGATTAGATAGCCGAGCGGAGGCAGTATCCCTGCATAGATGGTTCACCCCTAAGTGAGGCAGGTGCGCTACGATGGGACAGCCGTTGAGGTAGGGCCGAGAGGCGTGCCCTACATCGGTGTCGCCATTGGT